ATTTCCTTTAATAAGTTTTATTGTTTCAGTGTGTATATTTAAATCCTTAATCCATTTTGAGTTGATTTTAGTATGTGGTGAGAGGTATGGGTCTAGTTTCATTCTCCTGCATATGGATATCCAGTTTTCCCAACACCATTTGCTGAAGAGGCAGTCCTGACCCCAGTGAATAGGCTTGGTGCCTTTGTCAAAGATCAGATGGCAGTAGGTGTGTGGGTTGATTTCTGGATTCTCTATTCTGTTCCATTGATCAGTGTGTCTGTTTTTATACCAGTACCATGCTGTTTTGGTTATTATAGCTTTGATACATCATACCAAAACTTGTGGGATACTGTTTGCTGTTTTTTGATTTACAAAGTTATTTCTGAAATGTTATCTTGTTTATAGCAGATAATGTCTACTCCAAGCTTATAGACAGACAGGTGTACCGTAAGTTATTAAAAAAAGAAAGTAAATGCTTTTCCCACAAGTGCAACCTACCCACACCACCTCCCCTTCCCTTTGCTGTTCCTTCAGAGAGCCACCAGAATAACTATACAGTGCAAAGGGGGGAAAAAAACTCCATCTACGAAACAGACCACCAGCTTATCCAATAAAAACACATAGCACTCAGCATGGCTAGTTGTGTATAGGTAATATTCAGTTATAGGGCTGCCTTTGCAGGCCGATGACAAAGTTCCTGATATCAACAGATCCCTGCCACTCTCTTCTGGACCCCAAGCATATGTTGGTTCACCTGTTCTTTGTTGTTCCTTCTTGGCCTCTGTGATTTTTCCCTAACCTCTCCTATACGAACATTCACCAGGAATGAAATTCACCCTCAATTTCTAGTTCAAAGCTGTAAATGGATATAGGCAGTTTGGTAAGTGGTGGACTTATCTTTCAAAATCACATTCCTTAAAGATTTTCTGAATAGTAAGGAAACCTGTTATGATTATTTTTTTACACATTGCAGCTAACAGGTCCTATACAAGTCATCCATCAAGCAAGAGCTTGCTGTGATGTCAAAGGAGGAAGGAATGAACTAAGCTTCAAGCAAGGAGAGCAAATTGAAATAATCCGCATCACAGACAATCCTGAAGGAAAATGGTTGGGCAGAACAGCAAGGGGATCATGTGAGTACAAATTTCCCTGCCACTTCAAAGTGATTTCTTTTCTGAGCCAACATTAAATATGCAAATTCTTCCAGAACTATGCATGAGCATCAAGTTAGGAATATGTTACAGGGTGGACAAAGATAGGAAAAAAATTAAATGGCAGGTATAGTTCCATCTTCACCTCATCTGTGTTATCTTTTTTTTGGGGGGGTGACTGGCCAGTACAGGGGATATGAACCCTTGATCTTGGTGTTACAAGACAGCACTCTTACCAACCATGCTAACTATCCAGCCCCTGTGTTATCTTTTTAATGAGGAGCAGTATAAAATTTTATATTATTCCAGGGAATAACAAAGGACATTAGGTTCTTTACTGATGTTAAAAGGAAAAAATGAATACTTGAATCACATTGGAATCTTTAAAATGACTCTAGGCTTACACTAAATGTAGTTTAGTGTAACAGATAAGCCTTCCACAGGGCAGAGTAAAACATGTGTCTACATGGGAGGTCTATAAATCAGAATTGCAAAAAAATAAATAAAGGAAAATTTTAAAGAGAAAATGTGCAATTGATATTTTATGCACAAATTTTAAACATTTAAAATACAGTTGCCTGAACATAAATCTTTCCCATATTGGTAGATGGCTATATCAAAACAACTGCTGTAGAGATTGACTATAATTCTTTGAAACGGAAAAAAACCTCTCAAGGTGTTCTTTCATCAAGACCTACTGAAGATGACCAAGAGGTATATGATGATGTTGCAGAGCAGGATGATGTTAGCAGGTATGTGCAAATACATTTTATAAAACAGATCACACTGTCTCCTTGTCAGCAGTTATCTATTTTAGGATGCTAGAATTTTACCTTCCATATCTCCTACTGCTCTCTACCACTAAACTAAATTACCACTTACAATAACCCCAATTTAGGTGAAAGATCATTTGAAACTCCACGGTCTTTTATGTTACTGTTTGGTTATATGTGTCAAGTATTACTTGAAAGGTAATAGGCCACTTGTCAGATCTTGTCAAATGTGCTGTTATTCCAAAACACTGTTTTATAATATTTGTTATGATTTGATCTTAGAGATATCCCCAAAGTAAATAGCACTTACTAAAATATGAAGCATAAAATATAAAATTTAGTCCCCCTTTTTCTTTTGCTCTGCAATTTAAGTATGAAGATATTCATTGTTATTACTTGAAAATATAACAGAAAAGAAGAATGATTTTTACCATAATTTCAGTTTGCTCTTAAAAGTAAAAACGTAAAAACTCAATTCCCTATGATCCCTGGGTATCAATTAAGGGTCCAACTTTCCATGACACCTTTATTCCATGAGACTAAGGTGACCTTCCCTCCAAGAATTACGGGAACACCTTCCTAGGACAGAACAGGACAATCTTTCTGCAAAGAGAGGAGATTGGACATCTCCCTTGTACCTCCTCTTCCCTTTTTCCTTTCTCAGTCTTCCAGCTTCCTTTCTCTCTCCATCCCTTTCCTTCTCCACCTTGTCCTACCTCTGATCTCTCTTTGTCCTTTTCCATTTCCCTTCTCCTTTCATTTCTCTTTTCCTCCAGTACCTCCCTTTCCTGTGAAAGCCATAATTGCCTCAAGCTGAAAGAAAAGAAATCTCCAGCCCTATTAAGAATCCTCATTTTTCTATGCCCACCTCATGAAATTAAGAAAACTCCATTGTGATCCCTCAAAAAACATAATCTGTGCTAGATCTTCACTGGCATTCCTCATAATTCAAATTCCAAAGAAAAAAGTGTTTATCAATCATTTAAAAAAACACCAAATTAGTAATATACGTATAAAGCATATGGAGAATTAAATTTCCCTCTTATGATCTTTTACTTCATGTTATCAATTAAATTTGTTATGTTCTTTCTGGAAGTCTTTCTAAAGTGAGTTATACCCTGCTATGCCTTCTTACCATGTTATGACCATAAATTATGCAACATATATCAAAACAAGCAATGCATGCACTAGAATTTGCAGATCATAAATTGGCTTCAGTAATAATTAACACATTGACCTAGTCTAAGAGTCAGTAATGCCAGTGTTAGGGTCAGGTGAAGTTCCAAATTGTCATGTTCTGCAATTTATAGAATTTTCTGGACATGAGCATGTCAAATGTATTACTAATGTCTATACTTCATGTTTATCTTCTATTTATTTTTTTAAAAGCATATTTATTTTATTTTGTGGCTAAAGAACCCCAGTTACATTATTAAATACATATTTACACTGATGTGCACACTCAGGAAAAAGATAACAAATCCACAAAAAACGAATGATATTCTTCAAATGTAGCAGTGTTTAACCATATTAGGTGAATATTTCCTAACCAGCATTATTACCTTTTTCCATTTTATCAAATCCAATCAAACCACAAATATAAAAATATGTTCTAGTTAATGAACATGTAGCAGAAAAAGAATCTTATATTTAGTAAAAGGATGAGGTTGGAGGAGGTGTATGGTTTTCATGCTCAATATCTTAACCAAGTATAACACCACAATATTTACTAGCACGCATCTTCCTCTTATGCATACTTAATAAGAAAATTAAAGAAGAAACCATTTCTACACATGCTTTCTTTTTGAATCTACAGCTGCTGCTGGCAGAGATCTCATAACAGAACATGCTTTGTCCTTAATAGAAAAAAGAAAGATGCCAAGTGTAGTGGGCAGCTTTCCCTGAAAGAATAAGAGAAGACACCACCCTCTGCATCTCTCTCCTCCACAGGCCTCCTGGTTTCTTAAATTCTACCTGTTCTTTCCCGATTTCCCAGGTTAAGGAGGGATGACTGTGGGCGTCAGACTCTGGGAACCAATGTGAGTCTTAAAAGCAGTGGCCACCAAATGTCCTCTCTTCCTTCTCAACTAGTGTAGTTTCTGTAATGGAGATGAAACATTGAAGGAAAGACATTGCAAATGCAAATACCATTCTTCCATCACACAGCAAACCGTCCTCCTTCCAAGTCTCCCTCTTCCTTGTCTTTTCTTCTCATGCCCTCCTCTCTTTACCTTTCCTTCACCTGTCAAATGTTTGACATTCTAAACAGGCCATTTTAGGAAGGTGAAGAATTTCTCTAAAAATGAAACAAATGGGTGGCATATTTGCTCCTAAGTATGATAAACCTATTCTTTAGGAATTGGGTATGAGAATCTCCAAGATGAAGCATATTTGCCAGAGTGGCAGCCACCCAGAAGGCAGCTCTTCACGTAATTCTAGTTGCTTGCTTCCTGCTCAGAGGGGGTGTCAGAGAAAATAAATGTGAGCATGCTATATAAGCAGGTGGAGAGCATACATCAACTTCAAAAATCAATTTCTTGTTTGTAGCATGTTTTTCTACAAAGTTCCATTAGCAACAGTATGTTTTTCTTTCTAAATTAACCAAAGATCACATCAGATCAATTTCTTTTACTGAATTCTAATGTTAGGGAATCAGATATGAGTATGTAAGTTGTGTGAATGATTGTAACATCAAATCGATGTCTGTTGCTGGCAGATTATCCATGGGGCAAAAATGGGGTAAAAATAGGGTATAGGGAGAGCAGCTAGTGTAGTAGAGGGCATGGTCAAGTCACTTCATTTCTCAGAGTCTCAGTTTCTTTTCTGCAAAATGAAGGAATTGAATAGATGACTTCTGGATTTTTCCAGTTCTCATAGTCTACATTTTCTTTGCTATCACATAACTCACAGTTTAGTGGGAGAAACAGTCAAGAAAATAGACAATTATCACAAAAATGCTAATAGAGGAAAAATATAGATGTTATGGAAATAAACAAGAAACCAGGCAATCTAGATTTAGAGAGAAGGGGTCACACCATATAAAGGCACCATGAATGAGATTCAATTTTAAGAAGTTCTCCCTTTAAAAATATTTGAGGGGCCGGCCCGGTGGCGCACTGGATAGTGTGCCGCTTGGGAAGTGCGGCGGTGCTCCCGTCGAGGGTTCGGATCCCACATACAGACCGGTTCCCACTCACTGGCTGAGCGAGGTGCGGGAGCAACGCCAAGGGTTGCAATCCCGTTGCCGGTCCCCGGTCCGGTACGGGGGCAACACTGAGGGTTGCGATCCATTGCCGGACACGGAAAAAGACAAAAGACAAAAAAATAAATAAATAAATAAATAAATAAAAATATTTGATGCTATTAGACCAAGAATAAAATGCTGTGGTTATAAGATATTGAAAGAGAATTGAATTTAACAATGATAATTGCTGTAATGACTTTTGGAATAATATCTTGGGGGGTTTTTAATGGTCTATCTATGGAATGACATAATAATGTATAATCTGAAAGTTGCCTCATGGGAAAATATTAAAAGCAAAGAGGATCATTGTTTTGAGTATCATAGGTAATACTGTAAGTAATTCGCTTGATTCTTTTGACTTGTTTTGTTGTCTTATTATTAATCCTGTATTATAATAAGAAACATATTTTCTTTCTCTTCACATAGAACATCCTGATAACTGTTAACTGGAATGTTCTTTCTCTTTTGTTATTGCTCAATACATGTACTTCTCTTTCTGATAGCTAAATAATTTATACATTAATTTAATATTTCTGGGGTTTTCTTCTAGCCACAGTCAGAGTGGAAGTGGAGGTAAGACACATGCTTTTATCAGTAGTCTCTCTACAAGTCCTCAACATTTTTCTGTGCATTAGTGACAAAATGCTTTAGTTTGCACATAATGAGGGGGATCTTAATGTGATGGAAAGAACATTGTCCTGGGAGCCAACCACCTGGAATCGAGTCTTGGCCACCTAGTGACTCTGAGCAAGTCACTTCTTCCTTCCAAGTTTGTTATGGATCGTAGGATGACCTCACTTGCAGTGTGTCCAGGGAAGTCTTGATTTATGTAAACTGTTGAGCACAATGAATAATAGCATCCCTCTTCACTTTCAGAAGTATCTGTGTGTTTGGATGATAACTTGCACGGTCATTTTATCTATGGCTCCTAAAGACTCCCAGCAACAAAATAAAGAATTTGAACCTAGCAGTGCTAAAATTTTTGTAGTAAAATAAAATTTTTTGTACGTAATCCTGCACAGAGAAGGTATTCAATAAACATTTGTTAAATAAATACTGTGAAATAGCAAGGTTTCCGAAGAGCAGAACATAACAAGGGAAACAAGAGAGGGTTTAATTTTTAAATATATGTATTAGAAATGTCAGCTTTCATTTCTTTCTCTGTTTCAATTACAGCCAATGTTTACAGTCACATTTCACTCCATTTGCTTTTCTTCACATGTATATTGATCAATGCCTTTTTCTGAAAGTCTCTTCACCGTTATCGACATTTTTCTTATCACCTCCTCATTTCTTCCCTTTTTCCATAACAAATATTTAACTCTATCTCCTATTCAATTTTACTTTTTCTCTTATTTGTTCTCCAGCATTCCTTTCATGTCAAGCTCATAGTAGCTCTTATCATCCCTTATTTATTTATTATAATTTCAGCCTGAAGAATTCCTTATAAAATGGTCAACAAGGCAATTAATTAATCTACTATCTATGTGAGAGCATGAAAATAAAGGGTTTTTAAATTTAAATGGTAAATATGACAGAAGGATGCTTACTATAGTTAAATAAGGAATGTTTATTATCAAAATCTGAGTGACTTTTACATGACCAAATTATAAAATTAACAAAAGATTTCCCCCTAATCCAAATGAAGGGATGTTCCCACCACCACCAAACGATGACATTTACGATGGAATCGAAGAAGATGCTGATGATGGGTAAGAATAATTGGTAAATTGCCTTTTTGAAAATTATTATATATATCAAAATTTAGTTTTGATTTTCAGTTAGGATTAAAAGCAGAAAATAGTGTTCTTTATTACATTGCCAAAGTGATTGGAATGTTTAATTAACAACAATAATAAATCAGGAAGTATAATTGCATCACACTTCAAATGAAGTGGTAGATTGTTTGGAAGAACCTCAGCAACTATGGCATATGAAGGGAAATGAAAAAGGGATAAATTACAGGTGTTATAGATGTTTTTCAAACCTTTTCCAGTCATTTATTTATCAATCAATAGTTTACTTTTACAACAATCTCTGGAGAGTTTATCAGTTGCATGGCTATCCCTTCTACAATAACATAATTGTAGGCAACTCAAATAAATTGAGACATATACTATCTGTGACAGAACCAGTATTGAATGCTTAATTCTTTAGCTTAATGCTAGTTATCTTTATATTTATAACAATAATAATTAATAAAAATCTTTTAGGTCAATAATAAAATAAAAATTTCTTTCCATTTTGAAATGGCATATTTAAATATTTAAGGTCTGTTAATTACTTAATTTTAATCATAAATAAAGCTAAATTGATATTTAAAACTTAATCCCAACTGACTTATCTTGGTATCTTAAGAACCAAGAGAAATCTCACTAAATAGAAAAAAAAAATGATCAACTTAGTAGGAATAGTATTCGAACACCATGATCTATAAGCTTAATAGCACCAACTTGTTCAGTATATTGAACAGTATATTGCCTGAATGATCAATGCAATATAATTATTAAAAGTCTGCATGTGCACACAATGTCTTCACATTCCACTGATTATTACGTTCTGATCAATGCCTGCCTGCTCCAAAGCTCCACACTACAGGTTGAAGAGAAGAGTAACACATGGTCCTGGGGGATTTTGAAGATGTTAAAGGGAAAAGATGACAAAAAGAAAAGTATACGAGAGAAACCTAAAGTCTCTGAGTCAGACAATAATGAAGGTTCATCGTAAGAGTCAACCAAGCAAATCCAGCACACAATAACTACACTAATATTAATTTAATTGAATGCTACTAATATTCTATAACCGATAACCAAGTCCTGATAGGCTTAAACCATCTTAATGTTATTTTCCATTAATCATCTTAGCCTCATTTATGGTGTCATTCTTAAACTCATACACTACATAAGAAATGCCGAAATATTCAAAAATCATCATGTAGTTCAAAGATATATTTTACTTTCCCCACAAACATGCACAAAAATACACACATGTGCACGCACACCCTCACCCATGTGTACACACACACTCTTACATAAATACACACATTCCATTTAGTGGGACTTTTTTTTTTTAACTGTAGCATCACATTCAAAGCTCACATTTCCAATGCTACATTTTACTATATCGTATTTTATATTGACTACTCTTCAAAGTATACATTCTCCTTTAAAAATTAATTTGCTAAAAATAAAGAACGCAATTTGGAATTTCTTTTTTCTAAATATAATATGTTAAGTCTTTGTAACTCTATTCCACAATAGTCATATATTAATTATATTTGGATTAAATTTCTCCTATACTAAAATTATTCTAAATATCTTAAGTTTGCCTAAATAAAGCTTTCCATCCCCAAAATAACTCTTTAGTATAAATTTCATACATATGAATTTGAAGACTCTTAATAATATTCCCTCGTACAGAAAAGTCTTTCTGTTTTATATGTACATGATATATTCACATTTAACTGAAGTTTTTATAAGATGTTAATTCCACATAGCATTCCTAATTTTAAATCCCTTTGTAAAACATCAAAACAGCAGTCAATAAACAGTACACTTGAAATTTTAAGAAAACATAACAAGAAATTTTCTCTAAGCAGCATTACTCCAATATGATCCTTACTTAGAAATAAGAGACTTTTTTTTTCCTGCTTCAATGACATAACACTCTATTCCAATTAGAGATCATTTGAATTAATGATCCCTTACATTTTACTTTAACTAGTCATTCCTGCCTTGCGCACCATTCTTTCAGTGGTGGGTGTGTATGTGTGTATTTAGAAACCATAATTCCGAAAGTAATGAAAGCAAAGGTCTTTTTCTGTTGCAACTAAATTCCACCTAATCTTGATTTCAAATCACTTCTACTAATAAGCTCTCACTCTCCAGTTTAAGTGGATATTCCTCTCTTATTCACCATTCTCCTGTTTGGATATATGTATAGATATATAGATATATATGTATGTATACATATTGGGGAAATACAGTCATATTCCTAGGACCTCTGTTGATTTTGACTCTGCATTTCTACTGTTTAATTCAAATAAACAGTTTTGGGCCAGAGTTATGTATGCCACAATGTCTCCAAAATTTTGAGTCCATTTAATTTACTGTGGAGTAATAATACGCTCAAACTTCATAGAACAAATCTGAAAACGTTGGTCCAATGGCTGTGGGCAAAAATAAATCAATGGTGTGTCTTGACTAGACTCTTTTGGCCAACACTGGGGTTCTAAATAAGTCTTGCAAAATTCCAAATTGATGGATAGAAACGGGGACTTAGTGGAGAAATGGAGGATAAGAAGGGAATGATAGTGAACAGACTGATTAACCTTTATAAGCCTCCAGGTTTTTGCCTTTTCATACCTCTCCTGTATAAAGAAATCAATTTCTATGTTCATATTAGTCTGATTATAATTGTGTCCTCATTTTCCTTACAGTTTCCCTTCTCCTCCTAAACAGCTAGGTAAGTAATAAAAGCTAATTATATATTCCACATCTTTATTTCTTGCAGATGGGGTAGTGGGAAAGTTTTGGATGTAGTTACAGCATCTGCATGAAAGTCCTGACTCTGAAAATAGTATATTGTATAACCTCGGGCAAGTACCTTCACCTTGGGTGGCCATAGCTGCTCAACAATAAAATAACAGGACAAGGAAAATAAAAAAGATTCATGATATTTAAACTGGTGTTCCAGGAGTTGCTATGGACTTAGGGATAAGCAACAAGGAATGGACACCAACATCCCCCGTGTCCTCCAACCCTAATTCAGTCCAAGCTTGATACGTTGTACTTGTGCATAAAGACAGCTAAAAACATGCCAGATGATATGCCACCAAGGCTCTTCTAAATATTATTTCTTTGATTTTTAAAATGTGTAATTTATATTATATTGGGGAAATTTTAAATGTAATACAGTCTCTTGTTTGTACCATTTCAATCAGCTTAATTTTTAAATCCCTTCTGAGACAGATCTTTAAAAGATTTTTTTAAATTTATTTTGAAAAAATAAAATATCTCACAAGAATATTCAAGGGCTTTCAAAAAGTTTCTTTTAATTTATAAACAGGTTTAAACAGCAAGTCAACACAGAGATAATCTATTCTTTCAGACTCTATAGACATAGATATATAGAGAGGAATTTTTAAAGGAAATCAATTCCTTGCCACTACCAGAGAACATTTAAACTTTCTATAATAATCATTCCTTAAAATGTTTGCAATTTGTTCAACTCATGTCTTCAGTTTAATCTGTGAAGCAACTTAATAAGTGCAGAGAGGAAGCATACCTGCTGACACTACTAACAAAAAGCCTAGAAGGACGAGAAGTATCTACAGATTGAAAAAGCCACTGAATCAGTCAAAGTCATGGCAACTTTTCTGTCAGTACTGTTCCTCAACACCTGCTGGTATCAGAAATATCTTATTAATAAATATAATCTTTCTGTTTGAAAGAGGTGCCACTCCTACCATCATTGTAAGGTAAAAATTAATGAGGAATAGATCAGAAAGTAAAAGAGGAAGACAGACAGACAGGATGGACAGACATAGACACAGACATAGACATATAATTAGAATAATATATATTATCACAGCACCCCACATCCCAAAGAATCTTGATTTCAATCTCCAATTTTTACTGTCAATGGTCAGTAGTGTTGATTCGTTTGTAAGCAACTTATCTTCCAGATAATCGCAGTCATTGTTCCATGGGTTCTTTTGTTTGTTTGTTTTTGTTTGTTTGTTTGTTTTTCCCATATAATGGTAGATAATCATGGTCAGTGGATTTTTGAGGAAAATTTAACACACTCATCCAGGGAGACAAGAACCTCTTGTTTTCAGGAACAGACAATGCTTCCAGAAGAAAAGTACCCAGATACCAGGAAAATTTCTTTTATCATCCTTGAAGCAATCTTTATATTAAAAACCTCATTAAGTGCTTGTATTATAATTTAAGCTAACAGAGTTTCAAACTTTGGTACTCTCTCTTTTGTTAGGTGAGGGAGATGAAGTTTACGACGATGTAGATGCCTCTGATTTCCCTGCTCCATCAGCAGAGATGAGGTAATTAACATGCTTTTATAACAATGAAGTAACAAAAAATGAGATGGCTCAAGAAAATTTGACTGAAATATAAAGCCAGTGGGGTGTATGTCTACTCTGTGCAATTATGTTCCCTCTGTCTTACTCTCTAAAGCTGTGTTTCTTTCTGATCCCAACTCTAATGTCTCTGCTGGCTTTGTGAGTGGACACGCCTAATTCTCCTCGCTTTCCTCTCCCCCATCCCCCTGATTGTGCTCCTCCCTTCTGATTAACCTCTGCTCTATGACTCACTGATGTCTGCATTCGTGTACTCATTCATTCGTTGGCAAAACATATTTGAGATTCTGATCTCAAACTATCCCACTGATTCATCTCCTCCCTTTATTTTTACTCTTTTCCCAAAACTTTCGTCTTAAATATACTTCTTAGCTTACATCTCAGCCCTCACAGTTCTTGTTCTAGCCACCTCTGTCCTCCACAAGATTGTTTCCTTCATGGAAAAAAAGAAAAAGGATTTGTTTTTTAAAGGGACTTTTAGGTATGTTTCTTTTTCACAAAACATCTGATTCTCAAAGGTTCCATTCAAATTTAAAACAAAACAAACAAAAAAAAAACGAGTGATGTTTTTTCAGATTACCTAAAGTTCCAATTTAATTTTAGGCTAAAATTGTATGAAAATCTGTTAAGATCAGTGCATATAAAAGGAGTATCTTTCAAAATAGAAAATAACATGGTAGGATGCTTTCTCATTCTCCAATAGATATGTGAGATGGTCTGATGCATACTGTATATGTAAAAGGACTCCTCTCTAGCTTTATCAAGAAAAAAGGAAGGTGAATAAAAAGATCTTGGACTTGATTAATTAAAGAATGAAAGTAACATAAATGGGATACAGTGAGAGGTGTCTTCTGAGTTGTACTTGTAAAACTGCATGAGCGAACTCTACGTATGAATTTATATTTTTACCAGCATTATTAAACTAATTTTATTGAATTAAAGACAGTATCAAGATCAAAGAATACAAAGGGAAAATATGCTGTCACTCATATATGAAGATCAAGTTCTACAGGCAAAACAAATAAGAAAGATGAAAGACGAGTCATTCTCCTTTTTCAGTTCTCCATGAAAGGAAAATCTAATCTTCAGTATCACGTTCAAGTTTTAATATTCCTCACCATTGGGAAGTCGTTTCCATCTCTGACAGTCTGTAATACATTTTTCTGTTTTCTATTACTGTAAAACTGCCACCCCATGCCATAAAATAGCTCTCTAGGAACCAAGAGTCACACACTGGACCTTTCCTTCAAACAAAATAAACTTTAAACTTTTACTGATATGGACTATTTTCTTACCCATTGCTTATTACCAGAGTTTAAAACAAGTTTGTGTTCTCTAACATAGTACTCTATTTTAAAATAAATTTCAGTAAATTATTTTTAAAGATTGCTTATAGGGCATTCATTTCTAACTTTTAGGTATATTCTGATAGCCCCAGAGAGTTAATCTGGGCCAATAATTCCACAAATGCCCAGACTACCATAGTCAGGAGATACCGAGACAGATACAGAACCTAAGCCAGGATATTGTGCTAATCCTTCTCACAGTGAACAAACTAAATGCTAATATTCGAAATTAAAAATCAAAGATCAAACATTTTAAGTAAATCAGTTACAAACAAAACTTTATCTAAGATAAACTAAATAAAAATTAATATGTATTTAAAATTTTTTATTATCCACAGATTTTTAAAATTCTCTTCTGCAGAGATTTATCACCCTTCCCCAACATCCATATTTAATCCTAAAGAATGGTTCTCAACCTTGTTTACAAATTAATATCACCTGGGGATATTTTAAAATATGTATGTCAGACTAAATTAGAATTTACAATACTTTAAATTAATGTAAATTAAATTATAATTTCTAGGAATTGAGCAAGTGCAGTGTCATGTTTTAAAAGCTTCCAAAGCGATCCTATCTGTGGGTAGGCTTGAAAATCATTGTCTTAGGCTTATTCATCTCTATTATGATAGCTGGCTTTAGTCCAGTTGATATGTATGAGATATAGTGGATTTCTATACCCAGATCCTAGGAATTTTGTGGTTTTTTTGGTTTGTTTGGTTTTTTTAAAATATTAAGTCCATTAACAGATCAGAACAGGATATGTTTTTCTCTCTCTCACGTGCACACACACACACAAACGAACAACTGATAAAGTAATTAAGATAAATATTGAATATTAGCCATTTTCTTTAAGAAGATCCTGCTTATAATATCTAAAGTCTTAATTTTACCTAAATTTTTTTTATAAACCAACATTTTCTGCCTCCCATTCTGGCTCCATTTTAAGTAGGTGTAAAAAAAATGAACATATAGATAAACTTTGTAAATCATAAAAATCATTTTTTTAGAAAAGTGTTCTTTTTTAAAAAAGCCTTTTCTATGACAATGGCCAAGCCACTTAATTATCTAGGAAGGGTTGAGAATGGGAGGTGGGGGGAGGGCAGTTGAAGAATAGGTTGAATCATAGGAAACTGCTGACATACAACCATTTTTAAACTGTAACTCAGTGATTTCATATGCTTTATATGGTCTAACTCTCATAATCTGCATTCTCTTGAATCTCTTCTGTGTTGTAAAATGTCATAATTTATTACAACAGACAGTACTGAATTTCTAAGAAAAAAATTAATTGGAAACAACATTTAACAAAAATTCAGTGTTGTGAATTAAGTCTCTATTATACACCATTCATTTATATTTTTGAAACAAAATGTTGTTTTATGGTTTTTGTCATCCTAGTCAAGGAATCAATATTGGAAAGGCCAAGATGGAAGAAAAAGACCCTAAGAAGATAAAAAAGCAGGAAAAAGAAGAAAAAGACTTCAGGAAAAAATTTAAAGTATGTCATATATAAAGTTTAAAGCACTAATGAAAAAATTCAATGATTTTTAAGTATCAAAATGCACAGGTTAAAAGTGTAATTATTAATATTATAGTTATCCATCATAACTCCTTTATTTTCTACAAAATTGTTTTAAATTTAAATGTGTTCCTATAACAGATTAAGCAAGTTATAATACGTACACAATATATATACTGTGATAATCTAAATTTAGCTACACTTTGAACCTTGATAAGAAGGTACTAAAAGTAATTGTTGTATTAGGTTGGTGAGGTTATGACTGACTCCTCCCCCACGTAAAATTTTCTTTAATGTTCTTACACGATCTTTTGAAAATACTGGATTATTTTTTTTTACCAAAGAACTTCTTTATAAATCTGTCAATAAATGAGTTACTCTAATAAATTACATCAACCAATAATTTAAATATTTTTCTTTATTTTTCCAGTATGATGGTGAAATAAGAGTCCTGTATTCAACCAAAGTTATAGCCTCCTTAACTTCTAAAAAGTGGGGCACCAGAGATCTACAGGTAAAACCTGATGAATCTCTTGAAGTTATACAAAGCACAGATGATACCAAAGTTCTCTGCAGAAATGAAGAAGGAAAATGTAAGTCACTGCTTAGCACTGCATATGAATGGTACTCCAGAATTTAATGGCCAGACACATTTTAGTGACCACACTGTTTTTAGTAATTCTTTTTGCTCCACACTGAGTTGTGGAAATGAGATTTTGCTGTGCTGAAATCAATATATTTTATTTTAATCTTTCATTTACCAGCTGCTATGTAGACAGTGTGGTGTCAAAGGTAATAAAAAATCGGTGCTTCTTAAAATGTGATCCTACAGACATCAGCATTAGGAAACCCTGTGTTATTAAAATTGCAGTTGTCTGGGTCCACCTTTGGTTCACTGAATGATGAGCTCTAGGAATCAGACGGAATCTGTGACCATAGCTTCTTCCCTAGTTTGTTCATAGGTACACTGAAGTGAGAACCACTGTGCTAAATTAGTGAGTGACTCTTCCTCTGGCCTGGTTTTGAAACTATGTAGAATTTCAAATTATGTAGAATTATGTAGGATTCTAGGTATTTCACACCTAGAATTTCCAGTTTTCCTACCCAGCAAATTCACTTCTTTCTATTTTCTGTTTAGACGCACTTAATGCAACATACTTTCCCAAATAAACACAAGAGTCCCTGACCTCTTTGACTTTATCAGTTATTAGAGCTGACAGATGGAAATGTTTTCATTAAATTTCAAAAGGAAGTATGAATTCATTTAATTTGAATTTCATTAAATTTCAAAATTTACTGAAAGTCCAGGGGAAAGTTATGCAAAATTGTGTTGTCTTATATTTGAAATTGGATAACCAGCATGGTTGCACGATATCAGCTTGGTTAATCTACATGGAAAACTGAACTCTGAGTTCAAGTTTAATGGGAGAAGGGTAACTCAGGGACAGGAACTGAAATGGAGTTTCAAGAATAAAACACAGTGACTCAAGGGTGAGAAAATGGATCTAGGGGCCGGCCCGTGGCTCACTTGGGAGAGTGCGGTGCTGATAACACCAAGGCCACGGGTTCGGACCTTATATAGGGATGGCCGGTTTGCTCACTAGCTGAGCGTGGTGTTGAAAACACCAAGCCAAGGGTTGAGATCCCCTTACCGGTCATCTTTTAAAAAAAAAGAAAAGAAAATGGATCTAAAGTTATCATGGAGAAGGTATGGTTGGCTTTTCAAAGGAAGATAGAGAATGTGGGTACAAAAGGAAAAGGGCAGGGATAGTGTAATATTAAGATTTGAAGCTCACTGGAGATAATGTGTAGAAAGAGTCCTAGGAGACAAAGAAAATCCCCATTCAAACTAGCATCTGTGGTGATCTATCCTAAGGAATAGCCTTAAATGCAGAAAAAAACTATATGCATTAGCAGGTCATCAAAAAATACTAGAAAGCTGAAAATTTGTAAGTGTTTAAATATTGTAATGAATATACCTAACTGAATATTTTTAATAATGATTATGATAATAATGTGATGAACTTCTCATGACATAATACTAGGAGAAATAAGAAGATTACTTAATGTGGTGTAGGATTTATAGCCATGTTAAAAAATCATGCAAATAAAAGAAACTAAACTAAAAGAAATTATACCAAAATGTTGATTGTAGCTGGTTAGGATGACAAATCTAAATGATATGTTTTCTTTCCTCAACTTTCCAAATTATTTCACATTTTTCACAATGGAGAATTGTCCTACTACTTGTCATTTGGACCTGTCTTCAGTGCACATGCTTCAGACACATCTTGCCCTCAGAAGAAGATTTTGCCATAGCATCCTAAGACTCCTGTCCTTAGCAACAAATCCCACCTAAATCAATGATCCTCCAACTTTAAAGTACATACACACCAAGGGGGATCTTGTTGATAATGCAGATTCTAACTCTATTGGTCTGAAGTTTGGTATGAAATTCTGCATTTTACCAAGATCCCAGGTCACTGATGCTGCTGGTCCATGGGACATACACTGAGTAACAAGGATGTAGATTACCTCATCAACAAATGTGTATGGAAATAGATGAGCAGGAGTAGACAAAGCACCAGTAACAGTAATTCAGAGAAAGACTCCTATCTTCCTAGGAACCAGTGGATCTTAAAATGAGGAAAAGCAGTAGCCATTTAGGAATAATTTTACAACCTATTATCATTTCATATTTGATCAGCAATAACTGTAAGTACTATCATAAAAACTGGAGGGCTCCCATCTTAGAATTAATCTTTTAAAAATGAGAGGGGGAAACATTTTATAAGCTTCTGGTAGATTACAATCAAGAACTTCACATAACTTTGATCTTTTTTTATTTTCTGGTGCAGTATCAATGTACTTTATGATTTCCAAGCTCACTGAAAAGTACTTCAATTCTTAGGTGGTTTTGAGGTCTGTCTTAAGCAGGATGGAAACCAGATGAGTATATCGGTAGCACTTATATACCTGTTGTTTTTTATGCAAAGACTTACTTTGGGCTGCACTTTGTTTTATTTTGGTGAGTCTGGAAAACACCAGCAGGCTAGTGGAGAAGTGAGAGGGAAAGGAAGGCAGCCAATAACATTTTTATGAAAAAAGTTACCACTTGGATAATTAGAGCTTAATCCTGCTATGGAACTCTGAGTGTCAGTATTACCTTAAATTCTTAAATTTTCTTAATTTCCAATCTATTCTTCACATACCTCTATAGGATTTGGAATGATTGTTGTATAGATTTAACCCTTCTTTACCTAGGTAACTGCAGTAGCCTTTCAAATGATTTTTCTATCTTATTCTTTTATTCTCATCACACTGTTACTCAAATATTGTTTTTAAACACAAAGTCTTCAGGCTAGCACGTAAAACTCTTTATGATCTAGCCTCATCCTCACCCGCTGCTGCTTCCCATCTACAAATGACACTCCAGAAATATAGACTACTGACTTATCATTCCCTGAGTAAATTATGCTGTTTTATCGTACTCCACTATTTTTTCCGGCTTGGATTGCCCATAATTGTCTATTAAAAACAACTCAGTTGCCAACTAGAATTAGAAGCACCCACTCCCTACTCCCAGCCATCCTATCACAATTAATCTCTCCCCACTTCGCCATGATACTACTTTTGCTGCTATAATTGTTTGTTTTACCCATCTCTCACTCGTATTAGACTCTGAACTGAAGAGTAGCTTCAATGGAATGTTCTCAACATTGTATTGCCAACACATTATATACACTGCCTTGCACCTCGTGTGGGGCTTGCTAGATTGAAAGTAACCATTTGGAAATTGCAATTGGATAACCAGATGAAAGTCTGACATATGGACACCCACAGGAAGAAGTCTGTTAAATAGTTTAACTGGTTAGAGGACAGAAGTTCTCTGACTTAGTCTTAGTAATGTGAGTAGCTTGTTGTGTATCATTGAGGAGCCTCTAAGTCTTCCAGTTCCTTATTTCTTCATCCTCTGATGAGTAGCAAAGGCATTTTCAATTCAGCACCATGATCACTCTAACATTTTCCTTACCTTCCATTCTCCTTTAATCAATCGAAGAGAAGAAAGCGTAGCTTACTTCAACCTAACGTTGGTAGTGATAGAAGTCAGATGCTAAAGCATGAACGATCCTTTACTATGTGGAGTGGAACATAAGCCAGTTTTACAGACATGATTACATCTGATCAAGTATCAAGCACTGAATTATAGAAGCACATACAGTGTAACCATTGAGATCTTAAATATATACTCATATTTCTGGCACCTTCCCAAATGTTTAGAATTTCTTACTAATATTTGTGCATATTTCATAATCTCATAAGCTGTGAGTTTTCCCACATCTTTTTACTGGAGAAAAATTTCATACAAAAACTGTGGAATGAGACAGGAATTGGGTTATTTGTGGCCCAAATGTTCTACATTTCCTTTAGGAATCAAAGAAAGAGGGAATTAAAGATGCTTTAGATCCTCTCAGATACAATTGACCATTTCTTTACTTAACTAATTTGTTTTTCCAAAACAACACATGATCACTGAAGAAAAATTTTTTAAATTTAGAAATTTAAAAAGTCACTCTGATATGAAGCCCCAGAAATAACTAAAGAGACAAAGAGTGGGAGGAAGAACATTTTTATAAAACTAGGATAATAATTTATACTCAGTTTATATACCGCATTTTGTTTTTTCTTTCTATTATGAGCATTTTTCCCTTGAAGTTGGACATTGTCCCACTGCCTGGGTAAATCTATGCAATATGATTTTATTGTTTTTAAACTGCATGAGGCCAAATTGAGTAAATTTAACCTTATTTTTGGACTTGCTCACAACAAATGATATAATAAGGAAATATTATTTTTATTAAGTAAAAAATGTGAAAATATTAGAACAAAGATCATTTCCATTTTTCCAAAGATTATTTTTTATTTCTTTGGTAATTTTATATTCACAATGCCCTTCTAAAAGGTGAGTCATTAGTCCTGAGACACATGTGTACTGTAGCAAGCAAACATTTTTGGAAGAAATTAACTGGCACATATGGGGGGTGGGTGTTACTTTCCTAACCAGCTCTATCCCACCACGTATTTCAAAACATTTGTTTCCAAGCCACACTCTTCTGATCTGTGAATGTGAGGTTTCCAAATAATAATTCCATATATGTGAGAATCCCTGGGGTGCTAGCACCCACATATTATAAGCTAGCTACACATGGCAGCCATTCTACATGGTACAGAACCATGGTGAGTTGTGTTTTTTTGTTGTTTTTTTCATTCGTTTGTATTTTTTTATGAACATTCCTTATAGTGAATGTGCTTGTAACACGTGAGCAAAGAGAACATTTTCCAATTACACAAAAAAATTATTTCGAGGAAGCGAACATTTTCCAATTACAAAAACAAAATTATTTCGAGGAAGCGTAATGGAGAGATTATATAAAAATTCATGGTAAGTCATTTGTTTTGACACTGTCATGAATCATGCTTTTAATAGAAAGAAGTTTTATCAGAGATTCTTAAAGATACTAGACAGCAAAACCTATGCTGTATTAAAAGTCATTAACACTGTAAAAATGCTATATAATAGTGATTTTATAGC